AATCACAGAGAGGAAAGTTGGACACATTTTGCCAGAGTGACTGAAGTTACTTTATGCCTTTCATGGCACAGCATGCCATCTGATGTGCCACTTGGCCGGAAGGGGGGATCCTTCAGCTTGGCCTGCACCCTCTCGCAGTCCAGGAATCCTCGGGAGATGTCCAACTGACAGCTTAGGCCCACTCCAGGGGGAAGAAGGAGGAGGGAAACTGGGCCTAAACTGGGCCTAAACTGGCAGTCAGACATCCTCTGGCAGCCCAGGAGCTCTCAGGGGATGTCTGACTAACAGCTTAGGTTGCTCCCCCTGGGCAGTGGGCCTAAGCCATTAGTCAGACATCTTTATTGCTGCCACAGAGGTAGGTGAGGGTCCCCCCACCATAGCTGGAATGGCCAGCCATGAGCTGGCTTCTGGCTTAGTGGAACATCCCCTGTGGAAGCACACTTACACACCAGGGCGCAGCTCCTGCTTTGAGCATCTGCATCCTGGTGGTCAGTGTGCATCATAGCAACTGTTAGAGTCAATTTGCATATTACCCTTTTATTATATAGGATTAGCAATGAAGCCTATGTTCAAGGATAGCTGGGTCGACACTTTATTCAGATTTCATAAAAATCACAATTATTTCAAGTGTTGACCTGTTTGTGTTTGCTTCCATTTTGAACAAAGGTATGGGCTTACATTTCCTTGCAATTTGTTTATAATTGCGCTGACAATTGAACATTCTCCAGCATGTCACAGAGATACATGACGTAAGACTATGAATACAAACATATAAAACAAGCCCTCAGGTGGATGTTAATTTTTGGCACCATGTAATTAAACCAGGTTTTTAAAAATGTTATCTTTTGCCAGTATCTAATTAGCAAAGCCATCTGCTGCAAAAGTAGTGGCCCATCTGCCTAAGAATGTTGTTCTCTTCATTTTTATGAAAAGTATCTGCTTTTGCAGGTCCTTGTCTAATTAACTTCTCTCATGGCGGAATGTGATATACACAGCTTTGTTTATATACTTGTGAGGTATGTGGATTTATATGTATGTAACACATACATAAAACGAGCCCATCATTTTTCTTTCCTGCATCTGATTTGCTCCTGAGAGATCTCAGCTTAGCAGCTAACTTAGCTTGTCATCACCCTAGCAGGTGTGTGTACATGGGGGGATGGGGGGAGGTGATAGCAAAGTATTTTCTGTATCATGAAACACTGGGTGCTTCCTTAAGTCGTCAGGGTTTCTGTAGATGAAAAGCGACTTTCGTTAAACCTACTCCATTTCCATTTAGGCCTGTCTGTAGCACTGTTACTTCCTGAAAGTTGCTGATGTAGTTAGTTCCTGCCTATCACTGGGTCTGAGATGACCATGCCTACGCTAACAATGAAAATGAGCACCATTTCGTTCTTAAGATCTTGTCTAGACTGACGAGAGACACTGTATTTTATTATAAGCTAATAGCTGATTTGGGCAAATATTATCTATACGACTGCTTCTCCTTCCATCAACCATTACCTAGCACAAAGCCCTACACTTGCTCAGTACCTACTGAATATTTATTGCACACAAAAAAGAATGAATGCATGTGCATAAAGCAAAAATCTTTTTAAGAACTTGAAGCCTGCAGATGTTATTTGTGGTACTTACAAACAAAATGCACCACAAACAGGAATCTTCATGTCTTATATAATGTAGGTGTATCAAATTCTTTGCCCACTGTGTATAGCTTTTGGCTGTCCAAGTAATGGCAATATGAGTGCTGCATATTTGCTATTGAAAAATAAAATGAAGAATAAATGGATAATGGAATAGGGAATTAACATTCCTTTTCTCTACTGGGCTATCACTAATATGCAATGGAAAAAAGATAGTAAAGGACAAATATTAAAGATTAAAACAACCCAGACATGTGGGAAGTTAGATCATGATTGTTGTATTAAGGTCCAAATGTAGAATAAAAAACAATTTCCCTTTTGTTTTAACTATCATAAAAGTAGGTTTGGGTAGGTAGAAAAGTTTCTTAATAGGAAGTTAAGCAGAAAGATGGCTTCATACACCAGTTATGGGATTTGTTCCAAAATCATGATACATGAAGAACAATCAAGAATCTCTATTGAGAATAGAGTGAGGACACTTGATTACAAGTTTAATTGATTAAAACCAATCTGTGGAATGAAAAAAGTTATGCCCACGTCAAAACACGATCAAATTTTATACAGAACGATGATTAACTTTGAGAAGTAAAATTTCCTACTGGAGAATTGCATTAGTATCTATATTTCTCTCCAAGGAAAGTGGTTTTTTGTTTTTTGGTGTTTTTTGTTTGGTCACTTGTTTTTCCCCACAGTCATCAAGTTGTTGATTAAAACCTAGTTTACTGAGGGAATTGAAAAGCACTATGGGATTAATCTGGAACACCCAGTTTTTTATCAGTGTGGGAAAACACACACATTTGCAACTCCATTCTTTTCCATATTCTGTGATATCCTACAATATGGGTTTAGCTTTGTAATAGATTGTTCAGTTTTATTGCTAATATAATTTCCTCTTATCCTATCCTTTATTTAGGTAGAAAGTGAGAAGTGAGTCATCAGAAAAGCTACACAGTCATGGTCCTTAATTAATTCTGGATTTGAATATTGTTGGAAAGCTGATAGGTAGTGTATGGAAATGTTTCAGGAAAGTAAATTTTGCTGTTTTTAGATACTGTCTTTAGAAAAACCTGTAAGATTTGTTCTATTTTCTGTTTGGTAAACTTTTTGAGTAATTGCTCTTTCTTAGTCAACTGAGTTAAGTAATGAAATATTTTTGAAATCTCTCACTTTTTTTTTCTTCTATTACTTTCCCCTTCCAGTCGTTGGCCAGTATTTATCTTGAAAATGCAAAAGCTACTTGGCAATTAGGTGACTTGGGAAGCTCTTTATTTGCCATTTCTGCAGAATGATCTAACAAGTTTGATTTCATTTGATAAATATTCTGTTCTGAACCCTGGGAATAACCCTGCTCCTCATAGCTCTATGTTTACTGAAGAGAGAATTGCTATTTCACTTTCAACACAATCGCTAGGCCACTGAGGGCCACCATAAATACCTCTTTATCTAAAGCATTTCACTGCATAGAAGTTAATTTCTCTCTGTGATGTATAACACTAAATCCTCTTGGTAGTATAAAATCATAGCTATAATGAGGCCTACTTTGCTAAGAGAATATATCATAGTGAATCAATTCTGTTTTCAGTTTAAGTGAGGGCAAGGGCATGGGTATGTTTATTTAAATAAAAACAAGAACAAGCTTTTAGAAAGAAACCTAAGAAAGTAAAGGACCACTTAGAATGACAGCAGTGCATTTATTCCTCTGTGCTTCACGGGGGACAGACAGTTATACAACTCTACATAAAGCTCTTATCACTTCTGGAAGTGCCATCACTTTGCGTGAAAATATTTGTCATCGTACCATGGAACTCAAGTCATTTGTTTGCCTTGAGATGCTGATTAACTGTGACTTTATTGTTGCCATTAAGACTTATGAACAGGAAAACATCATAGAAGAATAAATTCTCTTATCAGATGTTGACACTGACAAATATCTCGAAGTCTTCACAAGGGAAACACTGTAGTATTGTTTCTGTTTGGAGTGTTCTCTCTAGAATACTTTTCTTTTGGACTCATATTTGCCAAGTTAGATAAGTTATAGAAGATGTAGTGTTTTGTGCCTCAATCGTTGTTATGTCACATTTTTTGGAGGTCAAGTAGACATTAGATAATGATGTTAGCATGACTTTGTTATTTTTCTAAATTTAGGAGAATTAGAAGAAAAAGTATTTCTGGAAGTAAGGGCAAAACCATTATTCTTCATAATACTTAACAGTAGTTTAGTTTTAGCTAATTTTGAGTATTATTAAACATTAGCCCAAATTAACAAAAAAAATTGCCACCTCACTTAGTTTTTTTTTTTTGACAATGATTTAACCAGTTTTTCAGAAACCCCGAATTTTTCAGAAACTCAACTGTAGTATTAAGAATGAACATAATTATAACAATATGCATACAGATGGAAAAAGCATTTTTACCCATGATAGTTCACATCCCCACAGTAATATAAAAGATAAACAACTAGGATGCATACATTTGTTCAAAAAATAATTCACAATGTCAGCATGAGATCGTTAATGTTTGCAAGCACCATTTCTTCCTGCAAAATAAGCGCTGTATGTTATCTTAACTAACCACAGGTTCTGTTTGTGAGTTAGCGTCCTATGTGTAAGTAGCCACATCCACTTGATCAGTAATGAGTTGGAGTTGAAAAGTCTGAGAAAAAGAATATTTAAAAGTTGTGACTTTAAATATTTAGTCAGAGCTAATATCATGAAAATTACTGGTTTGTGATTTTTGCAAGAGGTATTTATTTCATTGACTACCAATTATAGTATATGTGCCTTGGGAGTAATGATATGCAAAATCTTCCTTCTTTTATTATCAATGAATATTGATAGATGACATGCTGTTGAAGCAAAATGAAGATGTCTAAATGAGTAGTCAGATCATTTTGTTTCCAGGCTTCTCTTTGAAGTGTGCTGTGGGTTTATTCTGTGACATCACAGAAGTGACAGGTTCTGTAATCGTGCACTAGTCACCAACACATTGGACATGCACCTGCTACAGTGACTAGATCTACATATCACATTTTTTTAAAGGAGGTGAGCTGTTTAAAATTCTTTAGTTCTAAAGCTCATGTAAACCCATAGGACCGGATTTTATGTACTTGTTCTAAATCCTATATTAGTTTAAAAATATTGGTGTCCTGATTCCCCCTAATCTGATTCCTGGTGTCTCTTTGCCCCCTCCCTCTCCCCCACTTGCCTCAAAGCCATTGTGTTCCTCAAAGTCATTGTGTTCCTCAAAGCCGAATAAAGAGCTAGGAAGAGGGAAGAGGAGAAGGAAGAAAATACAGTCTTAGCTCTTTTTGTTCAGTCAGAATTATAATAGTTGCTGTCATTTTGGTGTTTCCTACAGGCTGAGGAGTGGGAGTGTGATGAAGCGACCAAGAAGGCCTGTTACAGTAAGGGCAAATCGGAGGTAAGGAGGGCGCGGTCATGGCGGTCATCAGCTTTTTGAAGGCTGGAACATAAAGCATGTTAATGGGAAGGCTATTCCTGATTACGGTGCCGTGTGAAGAAGGCAAGCTTTGAAATATATGTGCAGTAAATTCTCCAGGTTTTAACATTCAGTGAGCTTCCAAAAGGGATTTAGAGCATAAGATCAGATCCAATTTGCACTCTCAGACATTAGACTAAGCAATGAAATTAATTGGTTATGATATCATTTAGAATACTGTGAGCCTGGATTTTTAAAATAATATTTAGATTTCTCTCAGTTGTGCCTTACAGCTCACTCCAGAAAATGACTACATGATATCTAAAATAATGGCGTCAAAAGTGATTTGAGAGTTCTTTATAATAATTTAACTTAACATATTTTAAAAATAAGCACAAGGAAACCTGTACCTCCAAGTTCCTTAGGGCAGGGTAGCTATGGCTCAAAGGCATGCCTTGAGCAGCGCTCCACATGGCAGGGGTGCTCTCTCACAGTTGGCTGCCCAAGGAGAGGCTCCTGAGGAAGTCTGTGTTTCTGAGAAAATGATGCTGGATCCATGAGGAAATTCTCTCCCACTGGGTCTCAGGCTCAGTAGGTCTCATTCTGTTAGGGATCGCCTTTCCTTTGTCGGAGCAAGGGCTTTCCAACCTCAGTCACATTTTGGTCCAGAACAAAGTTGCTCCTCAAGAGCAGCAAAAAGGGCTTATTCTTTACCAAGTGTGGTCCCAGGGCAAACAGTACAGCAAATGCAGAGATCGCTGGGAAAACTCCCTCACACCAGTGGTATTATATGTGCGGGAGACCATCCTGCACCTTATTTTATCCAACTTCATTGCCTGCTTTTCTGTCTTTGAACTCAACAGTCTTGAGGGTTAGACATGGAGGTAAGTCCTAGCAAACTTAGTCTTTGTGTTTCCCAAAGCCAAATGAAGAGCTAGGAAGATGGAAGAGGAGAAGGAAGAAAATACAGTCTTAGCCAGGGAAACCCTTGCAGACAAAGAAAAAGAAAGGCTATTTATCAAAAGATCTCTAACCTCATGAAAATGCTTCTGAAATAAGTCATGGCACATACAGTAAGATTTAAAGGTAGTACCAGGTTACACAAAAATGAGAATACTGTCTTTTAAAATACCCTCGAAAAGAAATACGTGCATAAGGAATGTATTTACTTCAATAATCTTATTGACTCTGTATAGATTATGTAGAAGCCTTTTGACAAAGTGCTTTCCAGACGGCTTTCTTTCTCCTCCCTGTCATATGGATGTCTTGATATGACAGATGTATTGGTATACCTTTGCTCCTCACTCACAGAGCACAGGGAGTTCTTCAATTAAGATCACCTGTGCTTGAGGAATGAAATGTGGGGAATTAAATTTACCAGGGGCTGGGGTGGAAAAAAAAATCATCTTTCTTTCATTCTACTAGTAAGATTCACTGTTGGAAAACATTGGCCTTTCTTTCCATGGTTTTAGTGCCAATGTCCTCCCCTTTGCCTGGTGATGTCCGGGCCTTCCAGGACACTGTTTGATGACCTCATTCTTCTATTTTATTTATTTTTTTAATCCTCACCCTAGGACAGTGGTTGGCAAACTCAGTCAACAGAATGGCAAACCGCAGCTCGAGAGCCACATGTGCCGACCGCTGCCCTAGGATATGTTGTTCATTGATTTTAGAGAAAAGGAGGGATGGTGGGATGGATAGAGACAGAGAGGAAGAGAGAAACATCAAAGTTAGAGAGAAACATTGATCAGTTGCCTTCCATACATGGGGATCTGACCAGGGGCATCAAACCTGAAACCTAGGTATGTGGCCTGACTGGGAATCGAACCTGCAGCCTTTTGTTGTATGGGATGATGCTCCAACCAACTGAGCAAGCTGGCCAGGACTCTATTTCTAGGAACTAGAAAGAGGGAAGAGGAGAGACCCAAGCCCAACCCCTGGGGCATAGATGGGGAGGCAGCAAGGCAGCCCCATTAAAAGCAGCAGCTTAGGCCACGTGCCACCTGCCTGAGGGCTAACCCCTAAATTTGAAAGTCAGACACTCCACATTTCTCTGTTCTGACAGTGCCAGGAGCCAAATCAGAACACATTCTCTGTATCAATTTGACTAAAACATAACAGCGGTTGAGGGGAGTGGAAATCAGACTTCTCTGTGGCCATGAATTTAGAAATGAGAATTCAACTATTTCATGACTTTCTTTGTGTGATAGTATTATGAACTTACAAAATGTATCCCTGCTCTTCCCCCCCCATAAAAAGAATAATAGACAATGTGACATCTCAAAAATGAGAAAAATGCCAGCCATTCTGACTGAAGTAGCCTTTTTCCTGTGCTAAGAAAAGCGGTCTGTGCTGCTCCACACAATGGGTTTTCCCACCAGGAATGTGGAGAGTGGCCAGGCTGGGCCTGGGGGTGGCAGCCCGAACCCACTTCTCCCTGAGAGCCTTCCCAGTGGCTGCAGAGCCAGGGAGAGGAAGATGACACATTTTCTCCTGCTCCTCTGGGACTGACCCTGAGGTTCATGTATAGTCCATCCCAGTGACAATTGAGGGAATTAAAGTCAAGAAAATGTCACCACATCTTTGCTTTGGGCTTGTTTAGAAGAGAAGCAAAGCACTGGGCCTGCTCATTCTTCCTGAGGTTTGATGCCTTGTTATGTACATGATTTTCAGCTCACTTTGGAGCAATGGGGGGAAATCTGTTTTTATGAATTCTGAAACCTCTTATAATAAATTCTGTTGTATTTAGTTTCCTTTGAAAGACCATTATAGAAATCAGCTTTGAGAACTATTTAAATGTCTTTTCCACAAATGTTATTTTAAACATAAATAGTCCATTCTCTGGTGATCTAACAAGAGTCCCTTGTCTGTTTGGCATTACTATGTCTGAGCCAAAGCCCTTCCCACCATGACCTTTAGGAACTTGACAAAAGAAACACAACTGGTGATTAAGGGCCTGAAAGAGCTGCTTTGTGTATATGTTGCACTTTATAATTTTCAAAAGTTTCTTGTTCATGATCTCATGTCAGTATTCTCAACACCAAGTTCCTAGAATTATTTTGCTAGTCAGTGGGAGAGTTTTGATTAGGATCTAGGGCTCTGTGTACTGTTCCCCTGCTCTTCCATTTGGTCCTGCTCCCGAGTCGTCAACTTGGATAAGTAAAGAGTTAAATTCCACCTGTGTGAGCAAAGACACCATCCTGCCTGGGAATCTGGGGCCACCAGGGTTGAAATTTGACATTTTCACCTGAATTGCTAGTATTTGGAAAGCTAGGAGTTTATCAGTGCCTGTGGCAAACTAGGCCTGCCTTTCTCCTAAATTATTGCTGCAAAAATTGAGGATTCCTTAGGTGAGGTACTAACGACCTGTGCAGGTTACACATGCCAAAGTTCTTTTTCATATCGAGCTTCCCAAACAAGTTTCCTATGGAGTCAAGTTCTTTTAAGAGTTGCATTATATAAATAATAGAGGCCAGATGCGTGAAGATTCATGCAAGAATGGGCCTTCCTTCCCCTGGCTGCCAGCACCACCTTCGCTCCAGCCAGAACTGCCTTTTTGCTCCTGCCCTGAGCTGCCTTTCCACCTTCTCACACTGCCCAGAGTTCCCCAGCTGCTGGGTGTCTGCATATGCAAATTAACCCACCATATTTGTTGGGTTAATTTGCATACTTTTGAATGGCTGGTGGGCACCCTGAAGGTGCGGTCAATTTGCATCTTACTCTTTTATTAGTATAAATAGTAATTACACTTTAATTTATTAATACACTGTGTGTTACGTAATGTAAATAATTTTAATGAAATCTGTGTGTATATGTATATGTTTATAAATTATCATACTTCTATATCTCTATATGTATATTGGGATGGGCAAAAGTAGGTTTACAGTTGTTCATATGGAAAAATACATGCAGGTTATGATTATTGCAATAGCTTTGTTAACTCAAAAGGATATTGCAATGGCACAGTGCACTTAGGTACAGTCTTAAAAATGCTCAAATTGCAGGCCTTCATCAATTACACCAGAAAAAAAAGGGTAGCCTTTTTCTGCCAAGGGCCATTTGGATATTTATAACATCATTCGCTGAAGATAATTCACTTAATATAAATATATGCTGCTATGAAAAAAGCTCCTAGATTTATTGAATTTTGAAATTCACCTACGGTTGCCTTTACAGGGCCAGACCAAATGATTTTGCAAACCTTCTAAGGCTTGAGGGCCAGATATTCCCCACCCCCGATTCATACCTTCTCCTAGTCTTTGGAAACCAGTAAACAAAACTGAATTTCTATGACCTGCTTGGGTTAGCCCCACTGTCTCCTGAGGAGGTTGAAGTCAGCCCTACTCTTACCATCCCCTGTATTTATATTTACTTCTATAATTTGTATGCACATTTATACATTGGAAACACACACATGTATCTTTATATACATTTGTGTGTATATATTTCTATCGATTGGATCATGTGGTTTTTTAAGATCCAGCTGGTAATCATGACTTTGGTTGGTGTACATTGGACCTAAAAGGCACATGCAATTACTCTGAATTGCTCCTCGGATGCTCACTTTGGATGTTCACACAGGTAATGCTTCATTAAGAGACAGACGCTGCTTTCAGTGGGAGCGCTGTGATTAACATAAAGGCTGTCAGGCTCCTCCCCCTCCCCCATCCTCCCTAAAATTGATGGGTTTGACGATGGGCTGGCTGTTGCTGAGGCATCTACCTTGTTTGCAGTTAATCTTTCTACACAATTACAGTCTTTCTTCAAGCAAAACATAACTGCTCGAAAGGAAAATGATGAAATGCTATAAGGCAAAACCAGTTAATTCATTAAGAAGATGATCCTAAAACATGTGTTTTCTCTTCTGGGACTAGACCATATGTCCTTGAGATGGAATGAGCCTTGGCCAGTCTCATCTAAAAGTTCTCAGCGAGTCAGCAACTATGCATCTCAGCTATCAATTCAAATAAAAATTGCTTCAAAGTCAAGGACAGGTTGACCAGCTTGCAAGAATGCGGGTGCACATGGGTCATTTTAATGTCCAAGTGGTATTATCAAAATGTAGATAGATGGTTCTCATTATCAACAACAGAAGCCATGTGGTGGCAGGATGCTAGTGGCCTTGGAATTTCCATGAGCACTATGACTTCTCAGAAAACCAGAAGTCATTAAATCCCCTTCAACCATTCTGAAGATGATATAAGGTGGGGTGGGGGGGAGAAATTCCTAGATGAGAGAGAGAGAGAGAGAGAGAGAGAGAGAGAGAGAGAGAGAGAGAGAAGCAAAGACATTTAGATAAGCTGATTTGTAAGAGAAACCTGAAACAGAATCTCCTAAAAGGATTCTATATTATGTCTATACTTTTAAAAAAGGTGTTTGCATGCAGTCTAGCAAGTTCAGCTAATCCATATGAAGGCCACATTTGTAGCAGAGCTTGACAAAGAGGTTTATCCGGAGATTTTCTACAGGCAAATTTGAGTCTAGGATAATCACTATTAAGAGACTAATTATTACAAAGCCTGGGACACAGACCATTTTTCTCAATCTTAATTTTGACTCTTTATTGCTAAGTATATCTTCTGCTCAAAAACTAAGTACTTCCACTTTCTCCTATTTTTTAAAATATATTTTATTGATTTTTTACAGAGAGGAAGGGAGAGAGATAGAGAGCTAGAAACGTCTATGAGAGAGAAACATCAACCAGCTGCCTCCTGCACACACCCCCACCGGGGATGTGCCCGCAACCAATGTACATGCCCCTGACCGGAATCGATCCTGGGACCTTTCAGTCCGCAGACCAATGCTCTACCACTGAGCCAAACCAGCTTCGGCCACTTTTCTCCTGTTTTTATGTTTTTACATTATATTTTGTTTGAACTTGCTCCAATCTCTCTTGGGGATAAAATACACACACACACACACACACACACACACACACACACACACACAACAACAACAACAACAACAACAACAACAACAACAACAAAACAAACAAACAAACAAAAAAACAAAGCAAAAACCCAAGGATTTATTCTTTGAAATGTATTTCTTTATCTAATATTCATATTTACTGATTCTAGAATCAGTCTGGGGGCAGTTTGCAAGTTAAACCAAAGAGAACTTCCAAGTGATTAAGAATAGGAAGGATCTGAGTTGAGCTGAGCCAATCTTTTGGGCAAATGAGTTGAGTTTTTGGCAGGAAGAAACAACATACCAACAGCCTCCAAAAGTTTCTCTTGTAGGACATCGTGTTCCATCGGACCCTCATCCTGGATCCATCTTGAACATAGTCCCATTTACTATAAGCAAGCCTGGATTCCATAGGGCTGGGTCCTCCATCCTTTTAGAAAAGGACTGCACAGACCTCCCTGTCTGACCATCCTGGTGCCTGGCATTTACCTTCTTCCTTGCTGCATACTCACTGAGCAGGGTTAGCTCATCAGGGGCCTATGACCCTCCTCAGATAGAAGAACTGCCCATTGTATCCACACATGATTCTCATGACCAGAATAGGCCTTACAAACAAACAAACACCCTCTGTGCTAATTGAAATAATATTATTTTCTCCTACACTTACTTTTTTCAAGATTTAAAAAAAAAATGACCAGTTGGATTTGCCCTTCCTCCCTCCCTGGCAAAAAGCTACATCCTGGTCATGACACCCCCTAACCATCTTTCTAATTCTTTCTCAAGTTTGTGATAGGCCTTCAGAATGTTAAGGACCTAAAATCCTATTTTCACTTTGTCCTTTTTTGGGGGGAGAGTAAGATAAACACCACCTGTGTTATCTTCAGTGTTTGCCTTCCCATAATTGATGAGAGGCACTTTCTCCCTTTTCACCAGGTCTGTAGCATTCAGCCTTGAGATCTCATCTTTTCAATCTGAGTGATTCTCTTGGAATATCTTACCCTTGACCTTCTCCTTGATTAACAGGGACTGTCTCTAGCACACTTCTATCTTGAGTCAGTCTCTTGTTTCAAAGAAATAAACAACATCTTGACTATTCTTGGAAAACTTCTAAAAGCAGCAGCAGAAAACAAAACAAAATCCCCACCTTTCTCCTCTGTGCAATTCTCTATCTCATTCTTTATTCTGGTGGCATTTTTGTGTCTGTTTTATCTGCTAATGTGTCAAGTCCTCTTGGCCCTGTGTTCTCCAAGGTCTTTTTGGATTCCCCCTCAGACAAGCTTAGGCTTTGTGTTTTCCTCCTCATCTTTGAAAACTCTGGGCCCCTCTGCTCCCTGAGGTGGGAGCCCTATCTCTAAGGGACTTTTTAAAAATGCCCCGGGACGCGGGACAAATTGTTAAAAATCGGGACTGTTCCGCTAAAAGCGGGATGTCTGGTCACCTTACCCATCTCCTATGCTTAGGAATGGATGATGATAAGGTTTTTTGAAGTCTTGTTTTGTTCCTTCTCTCTAGAACTTTCTTTATCTCTCCCCAGTTATAAAGACAAAACAGAAGACACCTCCCCAGGTGGTGTACCTTTCTCATTTACCCAACTTACTGTCTACTGTTTACACTCATTTCTTAATTCTTCTGATAGTTACCTTAGCTCTTTTGTTCTGTGGTTTTCTTTCTTCAGTTGAAGTGTCTTCAGGTTGGCACCTCATGATAATGTGCCACATTTATTGCTGGTACTAGTATTAAGAGATTTATCTACTCTTGATATTTCACTGTACATTTATTGTAGAAAGCAAATTCAAATAGCTTAGCTCTTTTCGTCCTCACAGCCAACCCACAAAGCACACTGAGCTGTGACAGATCAACATTGCATGGATACTGGGTTGCCACCTGGTTGAAGGAACATTGCTGTGCTATTCAGTCCAGGTCTCCCTGACTTGGGGCAATGTGTGATTCAAGTCATTGTGTCATCAGGTCCAGCGATTGGTCAGTGCCCACATCTTGTTGATTGCCTGGATCCCGACTTTGCCTTTTCACACCTGCTGTATTAGTCAGGCCTGAGATGAGGAGGGACTGAACTATGGAAGTGGTTTCCCTTCCTTTCTGTGAATTGCAATCTCCCTATCTCCACATTAACATCCACACTGATTCCCCAGTGGCCTTATAATCACAAGCATTGGATCAGGTCAGAACTTCATGCATTAACAACATATCATGGGTCCCTTCACAATCCGAATAAATGTAAGCTCCTCAGCCTGGCACACCTGGCCTGGGTCTGGCTCCCCTGCTTGTGTTCCCTCTTCTACACACAATGAAAGCACCGTGATTTCTCTAGCCAGTGTGCCGTGGCACAGGCTGTTCCCCTGCCTGGAGTATGTTTTCCCTTCTTTGCTCAGGAAGACCCTGCAAGTGTCAGATAACACCTCTTCCAGGGAGTTTCAGTAAGTTCTACTCTTCCTTGGAAGTCTATGTTAGGTGTCAACCTCTTCTGGGAAGCCCTTCTATACCTCTTTCTTTCCCCTCTCCTCTGGAATTAAGAATATTCTGTTCTTATGTGGACAACTCTAAAGTAATTGTTGTTGCCCTCTATTTCAATTTTTTTTGTTAAGAGTCTAGATTGTGACCTTCAGCACAGAGCCCCCTGAAGAGTATCTGATCAGTAAATGCTTTCTCAGGTCCATGCACTCCTATGCCCATGGACCAGATTTTTTTGTGAATGCTCTGCAACTGCAAGAACTATTCAGCTCTGGGTCACCATCAGCATGGGCTTTCCCACCATATGTTTGAGACGTCCTTCTTTTTTTGGTTATATTTTTATTTGTCCATCAAAGAATCAAAAGTGATAATAGAGTCTTGTTATGTATGTAACCAAATTTGAGAACAAAATATGAACCTTGTTCTGATTTGTATAGAGTTTCTCATGTGGCCTTCTCCTTGGAGAAGCATGCATATGTAGTTTAAAAGTCCTGGGATTTTAATTATATTTAATTAAAATCAGTAGTATCTCTTACTGAACAAGCATGTGGATAGTCACATTATTTAATAGTGCTGAGGCCTTGTTAATGAATTTCTTGTGATATTTTTATTTTTTAGGATGAATGTCAGAACTACATCCGGGTGCTTTTAGTAGCTGGCGACTGGCTATTTACCTGTGGGACCCATGCTTTCACGCCCGTCTGCAGCAATCGCACGGTACAGCTTCATGATGAGAGTTGACAAAACTTATGTCAGGAAAATGGAAACCTTCTATTAAAGCATGGGTGTATTTTTGCTTTTCTGTTCTCCCAACAAGTTGCTCTTTAATTCAAAAAACCTCTTTTGTCAAATTGAATACATATTTGATGTATTGATTTACTCCTAATCACAATTTTCAATTATATAAAGAACTAGAAATAACCATAGCTTTTATAATTAAATTTAAATAGATTTTGAAACTATTCCTACCAGCTTTTTCCCCACCAGTGACTCTAAACATTAATCATAAACATGTTCTTTTTTCTTACTCTGCTTCACTTTAGAGATACTCCTAAGTATTGACGTGGCCTTAAACCACAATCCGAATGAACAAAGATATTACAAATTGGAGAAGAAACATGACAAAAAGTTAAAGCAATGAGACAAACCACTGGAACTCTAGGCAAAGTAGTTATACCCAATGCTTTTTCTTTCAAGCTGTGATTACTGACAGGCATTTTCAGAGTCCCACATCTTTTGCCAGGAGAGCAGCAGGGTTATCAAAGCAAACCTGTCATCTTCCCAATGCGAGATATTCATTTGATCTTCCTCAGGGAACATAATGGAAAACTATCATCAGGTTAATTTCCTGGTTGCACAACTTCTCTCAAAACCAGAATTTATCATCAACTTCATTATTTTTGAGTTAGCATCCAGTTATTGTACAAAAAAAAAGGAGGATGATGAGGATGATGGTGATTCTCACAGAGATCCCTGGGTACCATGGCCTGTTATAAGAGGCCTCTGTCCACTTACTCATTTAATTCTCACATCTCCCCACTGTGGTGGTTATCCTTTGTGTCTCCTTTTATATAATAAAAGGAGAGTCTTGGGCAGAAAGATTTTGACTTACTTAACGGGGCTACAAGTCTACTCATAGAGCAGGCAGTGGCTCTGAGTGTCCCCCACCCCATCTGCATTCTTGCCTCTCAAGAAAGAGTGAGGGAACAAGTGGACCCAAGATTCCTTTACCACCCAAAGGGCTTTTCTCACTCAGGGACTGACAGGCTGGATTCTCCCCAGATGACAGCAAGTAATTGAGTTCTCTTTAAAAACTCAATGAAGTTTTGAAAATTTGGGCTACATGGTGCTATAAATATCCACACATCCTTACCTAGGAACACGTTTTGGGCTATTCATAATATGCTGATTCAGTTAAATTGTATATAACTTTTATTGTAGTTTATATTTCTATAAGTATTGAAACCTGGATCTTTATTCAAGTGGAAAGAATAGCAGTGCCCTTGCATTATGCATAGAAACAACATACAACAATCTTCAGATTTTGTGAGCATTCACTCACACAAGATACTGTTACTCTGTTGGGATGATGAGAGTGATACCTGCACACTAAAACCAGGCCCACAGCACTCAGTTTCTTCGAGGGCAGAGCATGAACTTGGTCATGTCTTGTCATGAGCCCCAGAAAGCTTGTTTCCCATGCTTCCTAGCAGTAAAGGCATTCTCAGAATTAAAGAGCCCGCCCAGGGTAATCCATTTCTCTCTCCTGTCCTCACCCACAGTTGAGTAACCTGACGGAGATCCATGACGTGATCAGTGGTATGGCCCGCTGTCCCTACAGCCCCCAGCACAATTCCACGGCTCTCCTCACTGCCAGCGGGGAGCTGTATGCTGCCACAGCCATGGATTTCCCCGGACGCGATCCCGCCATTTACCGAAGCCTGGGCCTCTTGCCTCCTCTCCGTACAGCCCAGTACAACTCCAAGTGGCTTAATGGTAAGTCCTCCATCCACTCCTGTTTCCCATCTCATGCGTCTGCAATTTCTGATGACATAGTGCTCAAAAACAAACTGTCACAGTTTCTAAAGAAAAGCATATTTTCTAAAGAAATCAAAATGTAACATGCTTGCTATTTCCATGTGGAAGAGCATCATGTGGCTCTTTGGTGATGGAAAGAGCAGTGATAGTCCCTACAGTGTAGACCATGAGAATAGGACTCCTTTGATATTCATCAAATTTAGGTTAGTTTTGCCGAAACCGGTTTGGCTCAGTGGTAGAGCGTCGGTCTGCGGACTGAAAGGTCCCGGGTTCAATTCCTGTCAGGGGCATGTACCTTGGTTGCGGGTACGTCCCCGGTAGTGGGTGTGCAAGAGGCAGCATGTTTCTCTCGCAAGAGGCAGATGCAAGAGGTCGATGTTTCTCTCTCATCGATGTTTCTAGCTCTCTATCTCTCTCCCTTCCTCTCTGTAAAAATCAATAAAATATATTAAAACACACACAAAAAACACACACTTAGGCTTGTTTTTAATAGTAATGTTTATAATTTAGAAAATGTGATGTTATGTCCAAGATATCTGTAGACTCGTGCATTTCCTCTTATCATGTTTATTATATATCTGAAACAGGAAATTACTAGTATTTCATGAAACATTCAGACAATGTGTAAAAGAATGTGTACGGCGACTGGTAGCTCCAAGTAGCTTGGCCAATTTAAAAAGAAGGTATCAAATCAGGGTAGACATCTTTGGAGTTGCTTATATCAGTGGCTCAAAAGTTAATAAGGACCCCGATGCTGCCATTGGTCTCTCTGCATCTACAGCCTGTCCAATCAGGTTGGTCCTCAGGCTAACTCACTGCTGAGACTTCTTATCCTGCCTTCGGATATGACAGTGGAAGAAGAGCCACATCAGACTTCCCTTCAATCTTGGGTTAGAACTTGGTTACCCGCTCACTGTTGAGATTTGCTCTGTACCATGTCCTGAGATGAGGCAGCCAAAATTCATCCCCTTTGCCTATGTGTATGTGCATGTGTTACTGTGAACATACACTCTCACAAATATAATGCTGTGGATAGATGTGTGTACCATATGTAGTTCATTCCCTTATGTTTTTGGGAGTTTGTGCTAAGATGAAATCTTCAAATAGCCATGATCATATTTATTATTTTGAGCCTTCAAGTTCTATAAAGATTTACTGGCTGTCTGCCAAGGACACACTAATTAAATAGGGCAGAGTTTCTCAACCTCAGCACTATCAAAGCTTTGGGCCGTATAATCTTTCGGGTGGGGGAGGAGTTGTCCTGAATATTGTGGGATGGTTAGCAGCATCCCTGACCTACACTCACTAGATGACATGCTTCCATCCCCAGTTGTGATGACAGAAATTGCTTGCGGTTGAGAACCACCTATTTAGACCTATTGTTTATGAATGTGTATGTGTACATATAAGCATAGCACAGGAATTTGGTCAAATAATATAGTCAAGCCAACCACCACAGTTTGCCTTTTGAAAAATCTCTTCTAGAAAAGAAAATGTTCTCATCAAGTTTCTCCAGCAAATTGAATGACCATGTGCTTCCAAAGGGAGGCATGGGCTGATTTTCCCAGACGAAGAGTGACTTGATTCTCTCCATTACCATTAGTTCTGTTGAACTGGTTGCATCTGAATCCATCCACGCTCTATGGAAGGTCCCCTTTCATCCCTGAAACTTTCATCTGTGTAGCTCCAAGTTCTGCCTATTTGTTGATTTTTACTAGTCAAGCTGTTTCCAGTTAAAATTCAAAACTTTCCCACCCAAAGGCATTGCAATTAGAGTTTGCCCAAAGCAAAGTATAAAGTAATTAGGAGCACAGTCTCTTTCTTTTCCCTCAAGTGATACCCTTAAGAATATCCTAGAAAAACAATTCAGGTCAGAGCATGAGTTATATCCGCTGGCTGTTTCTTTACACGTGACTCTGATACCCACAGGCTGATCAGATGGTCAGATTCTCCTAACCCTCCGGGTGGAATTTTTTCCATATGAGAGTCAGATGGTAGAACAAGGGCCATGGAGAGCTAACCCACTGTGCACCCCAGTCCAGCAGGTGTGCCTTCATCATTTATTGAGCAGAGGAAGCTTTAGATTCTCAGCTCATAGAGGCTCTGATTTCCTCACAGAGCAGCACTCCTCACCCCCTCCCCTGGCCACACCGGGGAAGCCCTGACTCCTGGGGCAGAGACGGAGAGCCAGTTCTTGCATGCTCACTGCTTATTCCCTCTCCTGCTTTCTATTGGGCCAATTCCTTCTTTGTCTGAACGCTGAGATACTGGTTCTGCTCCTGGCTGGTTGGCCCCGTTTTTCTGCTCCTATTGACTCTCCATCCAGGGTGAATTCTGGCCTCTGTCCCCCACTTTGCCCTGCTCCGTCCTCCACTGAGCCCAAGTACGGAGTCATCTATTATCACTGGCCTAATTGGAACCCACACGTCATACCCCATCTGCTGATTGACCCTTCATCCTGTCTCAGTTCTTTTCTGCTGTGTGTTCTGGAGGAATTTTCTTTCAATAGATGGTTACTCTATTCATTAGCCCTTCTTTTTTGCCATGGCCTTACACTTCTTCCTCTCTAAGGGTGATCACTCTCTTTTTATAAAAATGCTCAGATTTTTTTCTTTCTTAAATGAGACAACAAATAAAGAAACTCAAACAAGCTAAAAAAACAGCCTAGTTCTGCCATGTCTAGGAACTTCCTCATGTGGCCATCTTCATATATGAACAGCCCTATTGGATTAGAGGCCCACCTTTACCAGTATAACCTCATATTAAATAATTGTATCTGAAATCATCCCATTTACATATTTAAATGTACTGAGGGTTTGGCTTCAACATTTTTTTTTTTTTTGGGGGGGGGAGGTGGGGATACAATTCAACTATAACAGTATTGAAATCTTTAACTGCAGCCTCTTATTTTCTGATGGTGATAGTGGTCTTCCTTCCGATGCTGTGGGTGCATCCTCTGCCCATCCTCAGTCTCCCATCTCAGCCGTATCACCTTCACTCTGAGCAGACAATAGTGTTTCCTTGTTTCCAGTGATGTCAGGACTGTGTGATTGTCGGTCCCCTTAGTCCAAGGCAGAGCCGGTTTACTCCTCCCCCCTCCTGCTTTCCTGAGCTCCGGGATGCAATACATTTCCTTAAACTGCTGCTCTCTGCACTGTGCATCCCTCCTGGCCCCATGGCCTCTGGAGAAGGGTTTCTGTCTCTTAGGCAGCATTCTGGAGTGGATCTCCTCCCTCCATTCTATGTTTGAGTTACTCCCTCAAAGGGCTACAGTGCAGGCTTGGCTCAAGCACAATGACACCAAAATATGTTTCTTCAGGACTTAGGGCATGTAGATAGCACAGCAGGCCCATAGGCAACTCCAGCCTCCCAGGACCCCAGAACTTCATGGCCAACCTTTGGTCTGTCCAGGGTGATGTCCTGCCAGGACACAGCGAACCCAGAGTAAAGTCCTGCCAAGCCTCTAGTCTTCCCACCACACCTCCTAGAAACCAATATAAATACCTAGTACTGTTCAAACAACCGTCCTGGTACATGTTGAGTCCTTTGGATTTAATGCCCAAGCTCCAAGCACACATTTTGATTATACCACTATGGTTACACACCATTAAGTGGGTGTCCCATCCCTCCTGCACCACTGCCCCTGTGCCACATGACCCGAGTGGCAGGACACGCCATCAGCTGTCAGTAACAGCTGGCATAGAGAGGAAGGACAGGGCTGGCTGTGGATACCTTCCTCAGGTTTACCTGCTTCTCTTTCCCAGCCTGTGTGTCTGCTCTGTCTGTGTTTTCAGCCCTGACTCCGGCTGCATTCCCACGTACCTTCTTGGAGCTCTAGAGGGGAAGTGTGCTGTTCCCTGGGTGCACCAGGCCTTCCTCACCGTGGTCCTGTGCACGTGGCATTTATTCTGTCTTCACGTCCCTTGATTTTGCCTACTCCCTTGTATCAGCTCTTCTTTACTTCAGCTCAAATTTCAGTTTCCCCTAGACTCAGTTGGGTCTTTCATCTGCTCTTGGCCATGCTCATGTTTATACTTACCCCTCTGCACTGGAGCTTTTGGTCTCTTGATCAAAACCTACAGCAGGCTTGCACACATCACCTGCTCACACATGCACACTCATGACTCTGTTATCTTAGCAGAACAGCACACATCACCTATGCACTCATGCACTTATGGCTCTGGGCTCACAAAACTTCATTTATAGACAGTGGGTAGGATATGGACCATGGGCTATGGTTGGCCCAGCCTTTATTCATTCTGAAAAGCTCTTTCTCCCACATGATCTACCCGGCCAGCTGGGGGCCCCTTTCAGTCTCGGTTAAATACTACTTTTCAATGGGACCTCACCAGACACCTTATTTGAAATCATATCCTCTTCTATCTAGTAGTCCTCTTGCTGCTCCTTACCTTGCTCAAGGTTGTTCCTTAGCTGTCATGCTCTTTAGTACACTGTCTCTTTATCTCCAGTAGAATGAAAGCTCCCAATACATATAATTTTAATACAGTAGTTTACAGGTAAGTAATTTACTTCTTTGTTTTCAGCACAAGCTTGTGAATACCCTTGAGGGCAGGGAATACATGCGAGCCATCTTTGTGTGCTCAGCATCTCACTTAGTTCCTGAAACACACCTGAAACTTTATTAATATTTGTTGAATGAGTAAGAGAAGACCACGTTTCACAAGAAGCAGAAATATGAATTATTGTGTTAAGTGAACGGAACAGGTTGTATTAATTTTAAACCCCACAACCCCCAAGAAAAATGATTTGTATATTTTTTAACTAAGTCAAGTCTGAAGACTTAAAAATCTTCCTTTTACCATTTTATTTGGACTCCTATTTTCAGCTATTATTTATTCAGTCGGCTATAAAAAACAATGCCATCAATTGAATAATGTTCTGTAGGTTTGAAACGTTGAGTTTAAGTGTTTGGTAATGAATCTAACTTTTATAATGAG